AGCTTGCAGGCGAGGGGGGCGTGGAGCCTCCGCGGCGCCCCTCAGCGGGTCCACGCCTGCCCCACGTAGCCAGGGGCTGTCTCCCCGAGGATGGGCACCCACTGGGCAGCTGCAGCATGCCAGCCACTGGAAGGAGGGTGCTTGTTCCACCTCCCACAGCCCCCGGAGGAGAGAGGACGCTGCCCCGCACGTCACAGGTGTGGGAGCCAGCAGGTAGAGGGGGAGGTTGAACCAGGTCTGCTCCACTCCAAGCCTTAAACGGAAGGTCCCCTTGAGCTCTGTCCCTGGCACGCAGATGTTGTCGGCCCCATGTCCTTGCAAAGCCTTCCTAGCACGTGTTTATCCAGTCAGTGTTTCCTGAGCCCCCACGGTGCACCAGGCCCTGTGTGGGGGCAGACAAAGGGCCCATCGCCTGCGTAGCAAGACTCATTGTGTCCACGGTGTCACTGCAGACAGTCACCAGAGAAGAGTTGTGAAGGGTGACTGGGGCAGGGCTGCAGAAGGGGCCTCTCTGAGGGGGTGACATTCAAGCAGAGACTCCAGGGATGAGAAGATGCCGGCCATGCAGACATCTGGGAAGAGAGGACCAGGCAGAAGGAACGGCGAGTGCAAAGGTCCTGGGGCAGGAGCATGTGGCAAAGAACGAGCATGAAGGTCTGTGGGGCCAGAGCAGAGTGAAAGTGAGAGGTGGTGGGAGCTCCCTTCACTTGCCCAACCAACACGTTTGCCAACAGGAGACGTGGGAGTCTGAGGGGGCAGGAGCTGGGGGCCAGAAGCTTTGGCTGGGGGATGAGGGGACCCCCATCCCATTGCACCTGCTGAGCAATTGTTTGCTGGGGTGCTGCTGAAATTCTGGGGGAAATCGCTTGAAGCCTATCCCTCTTGGGGACCTGAAGGCTGGACACGAGTCAGGACAACAGCATCTCCTGAAAGAACTCCTCTTAGAGAGCAGGGCACAGCCAGAAGGGCTGAGGCTGGGGCGGCACACAGGTCACCGGCAGGGTCCACGAGCCTGGGACAGAGGACTGTGCCGGCGCCACCTTGGTGCTCTGGTCTCCTGCCACAGGCTCCTTCTCTCCTTTCTTGGCCAAAGCAGCACCAGGTCTGTCCCACTACGAGGCTCGGTGGCCGACCTTGGTCACGAGGGCGCCGGCTCTGCAGGGCTCTGGGTGGCAAGAGCTGGGGCCGCTATGGTTACAGCCTTCCCCCCACCAAGAGGACAGACACTCCACAACCAAGCCCATGGCCACACAGACGCCGCTCCGGGTTTCCAGATGCTTGGAGGAGGAGAGCTCTGCAGGGCTCTCAGTGCTGGGGGGGGGGGGGTGGGGGGAGCAGCGCCGCTGATGTGTGGGGTCAGGCACCTCTGCGATGCGGGCGGCCGTCCGGTGCCCTCTGGGAGGTTTAGCACCTTCCCCGACCACCTACAGAAGCCCAGTCCCTCCCCACAGCAGGGACAACCAGAAATACCTCCGCACATTGCCCAATGTCCCCTGGGGGCCCAACCCCACCCCACCCCAGGTGAGGACCACCGGCTCAGAGCCCTGTGTGGACGTTAATGGCCACAGGAAGGTGGTCCTCCTCACCAGCTGGGGAGGCCGGGGACCCCCAGATTTCTTAACACGTTTGGGTTCGTTCTGTCCGAGGAGGAGCACCAGGAAAAGACAGGAAACTTGAAAGGAGCAGTCCTCCACTTGGCGGCTGACCCCTCAACAGTTGGGTGTACTTCCTTCTAGTCTTTTTTTGGCATCTGATCGTCCTCACGCGTAGCTCTGGCTGGTTGGGCACTCAGCCCCGTGCCAGGCACTGGGCCAAGTGTTTTCTGTGCCTCATCTCGTCAATCCTGCCAGTGCCCCTACCAAGTGACACTATTATGATCCCGTGTCACGGAGTAGGACACTGAGGCTGAGTTCACTTGGCATCCTCCACACTTCCTTGGAAAACACCATTTTCAGCGGCTGAACAACGCTCTGTGAGAGGCTGGGTGGGCTGTGCCCCCTAAAGCCCAGCAGTCAGCACCTCGCCCACCTGTGCCCACTAAGTTGGGGGCAGAGCGGTACTCATGTCCTCAAGGTCAACCCTGTTTGGACCCTGAATTCACACATGTGCCTCACACACAGTTTTTGGCCCTCCCCAGTTATGTCTCCAGTCTGTGCTTTCTTTGCATCTCCTCTCCGGCCAGGGCCCCCCTCATCCTCACACAGCCTCGCCCCCCTCCCTGCAGCCAGCCAGGCCCGGTCCGTGCCCCCAGCGCACCTCCTGCTCTCCACGCTGTTCTCTATGCCCCGAACACCCTTCTCCTTATACCTTCCCTCCCACGTCAACAGTTCTGCACCTTTCAGGTCTCCAACCTTCTCCTGGCTCCTCCGCACCCCACCCCCAAGGTCTGGCCACATCGCACATGCTCAAAGCCACTAGCCCCTTTCCTCTGGACTCTGGGCCCAGCCACAATCTGGGTGAGTACGTGCTTCATCTCTCTCTCTCCCTCTAGACTCGTGAGCCCCCAAAGGGCATCACCAGTGCTGATCTGCTGTCCAGGCATCCGAGGACCTAGCATGAGGCCTGGCACAGAGTGAACATGCCGCAGCCATCAAGTTGTGGGCTCGGCTGAGTGCCAGCGAGGGTGGGATGGGAAAGATGAGTTTGGGGAGCCCGTGCCCAGATCGGCCGCTGAATGAACCAGCCAGTGCCCGGAAGGGAAAGGGACCTGGAATAAACTTAGCATGCCCCCCAGACCCACTTCCTGTCTACCCGCCTTCCTTCCCCGCCATCGGAGCTGAAGTCAGCAGAGTCTGCTTGCTCAGCGGTGTGTCCTGGTGGAGTGAGCATCCAGCTCTCTGCACCCCAGTTCCCCTGCAGTAAAATGGGGTGATCATTGTACCACATCACAGGGTTTTTATGAAGCCAAATGAGATCACCCAGATAAACGGTTAGGCACGGGGCTGGGCACGCAGTCACGGCCCAGGAAAAGCCAGCTTTTTGTCCCTGAACATCTTGTCCTGGTGTCCTAGGCCCCGGCTCTGCTGTGTCCTGCTCTCAGCAAGGAGGGTGACTGGGTTCAACTTTGTCACCCCCCCCCCAAGTGCCACTGTCTTCCCTTTAGCAGCCAGGAGCTACAAAGGGCAACTGATGGGGACTTCCAGGAGCCAGGGCTGCTCAGCAGGGGTGAGCATTTGGGACATGGGATTCCCCTAGAACCCCACTGAGGACTCCAGGATGGGGTGACACAGCGGTAAGAACGTGGCTTCCTGATTCAGGCCCGGGTCCCAGATCCTCACGCATGACCCTGTTTTCTCCACCGTAAAGGGGGGAGGATGCTGGTGCCTCCTCCCCAGGCTGTTTGCAGGGACTCAGGGGGGATGCTGCAGGTGTCTGCGCTCAGGCTGTCTCTGCTCATTCGGGTGCCGCGGGAGGGCAGGGCAGGAGGAAGGGGGCAGCGGCATGCAGGAGCCGGCCTGACTCTGAGAGCCAAGAGTCAAATAAATGTTCAGAATTTGGTGAGCCCGTTGTCTCCTAAGTTAAATCATATTACATTGAAAACCAAGGTCCTCAGTACTCAGAACTCATCACATCCTACTTATCTCACTACATTCGACTATTACCTATGCTCTTTGGGCGATTCGCTCATAGTGTATCATCCATCTACCACAGGAAGGGCTCATTGCTCAAAATCGGCCATGGGACATTTTGCACCAAGGAAATTAATTGGCAGGCACTACACAACATGGTTTGGGTGCTAATCCACCAAGGAAGCCAGTTGTTAAGCCTTTACCTGCACCCCATTGGGTTTGCAGCTCCCACAGTCCCTTGTCCTTCATCCTCAAACCCTGGACCAAGGTAGCACCAGGCTGCCGATGGCGTCAAGAGCTGGTACCGGGTGCCCCCTGGTGGCTGCTTTAAGCACCTGTCGTCACTGACTGACAAACTGTACATGGAGAAACAGATAGAAAATCATTCCAGGATGTGAGGGCGATCTGGCTGTGACATGTGTCACCCCATTGATGGCCAGGGTTGAAAATCAGATGTTCCAGGACCCCTAGGACAAAGAGAAACCTGCTCCCTGCCTGAAAGGATGGGATAGCAGGACCCCGGCAGAACTGCCCAGATGTGTCCCAAGTCCCCAGCCCCATGATGGTCCCCCAGCTGATTTTTCGGATCCCTCCCTAGGGGGAAGTGACTGCCGTGTTGCTCCTAATGTGTCAGGTGTCCTTCCCACGGGCGGGCAGCCCCAGACCACCACCGACACCCCTCTTCCATCAGAGCGCCTTGAACACACCTTCCCTGCATTTCACGCTTGTTCTAGAGGCTCAAGGTGGGGGGGGGGGGCGGGGGGGACAGGCATTCCTCCTCTTCCCACTGACCCTGTTGCTCACCGTTCTCCCTCCCGCCTTCCCCAGTCCCTCCCCTTCCCCCCAAGGCCCGTCTACCGAGTGGCGGCCAGTACCTCCAGACAGGCCTCTCTGAACTCTCCCTTTGGAGATGATGTCCTGGAGTGGAGGGGTCCTTCGCTTCCACAGAGGCCATTGGAGACATTTTTCTGCAAGAGAAAAGTCTCCCGAGAGAAATGTTATTACTCTTCTGGAAGGTAGACCAGTGCGCCCTTTGTGCAGCAGCAGGTTTGGGGGGGGGCGGGGCTGGGGAGTGGGGGTGCTTTTCCTGCAGGAAAAAGGCTGCAAGGCTCTGGGAGGCAGGGGGATGGAGAGCTTGAGGCCCCGCTCAGCCACTGTTGGGGGCCGGTTGCCTCACCTCCGTAAGCCTTGGCTTTCTGCTCCGATCCTCAGGATCAAGGTGGGCTTCCAGAGCCGCAATGCACGCACGTGGTAAGGGCTACGTAAAGAGGACAGCCAATGTCCTGATTTGCTGGGGCTGCATTTTTCCCACGATGTGGGACTTCCAGGGCCAAAATCAGAAAAGTCTCAGGCAAGCTGGGACCTCCGGTCACCCTGCACTTACATCAAATCAGGGGTCCGCAAACTTACAGAGACTCATTCAGCCAGCCGCCTGTTTATAAATAAAGTTTTATTAGAACTCAGCCAAACATATTTATTCATGACATATTACCATCACTGCATTCACGTGCTGCAAACAGAGTGGAGAAGTTGCAACAGAGACCGTGTGGCCTGCAAAGCCTAAAATATTTACTGCCTGGCCCTTTAAAGAAAAGTCTGCTGGCCCCACACTTTAAATGACAGAGCCCCAGCCCTGCAGCTTGGACACAGGGGCAGGCAAGAGAGGGCAGAAGGGGGGTTACTCTGTCACCGGAAGGATGTTTGCTGGTCCCCACGGCATCAGAAAAGTGTGTAGCCTTCGGCTCACCAAGCCTGCCGCAGCCTTCCAGGGCAAGGCCTCACCCTGGGCTCTGTGGAGGGGTATCTGGGAAAATTCAAGCTGCCCTCCAGTGGGGCAGCAGCAGAAAGTGGCCTGGGGAACCCAACACCACTCAGTACCTGTCCCCAAAAATGCATGATGAATGTGGCCACTAGGGGGCAACAGTGGTGGGGCGAGGGCAGGGGCCGGAGTCTTCCCTGGGCTCAGGAGAGAGAGGCTCCAGTGGTCAGGAGGAGGGGAGACCGTGGCTGCCTTTGGGCCTGTGGGAGTGGCCAGAGGCCGGGCCCTGGATGTCCCTGTCCGTGGGGGACTTCGATGATGCCCAGATGTACGGCCCAAGCCTGGTGCGTGGCGGTGGCTGGTGGCCTGAAGGGCAGCCGGAGTGGGAGATGGAGGTCCTGCTCCAGCGGCCGGGCAGGGGGAGCTAAGGGAGAAAGCTGTGCAGGGTGAGGTCGTCCCCTTCGCGGTTCTCCCCAGACCCTTCCTTTAGGCCTGGCTTCCTGATGGCGGGCAGGCTGCCATTGGCGGTGACCACAGGTCCCTCATCCCCCTCGGGCAGCAGGGCCGAGATGCAGACCATCTCGGTGGGCGAGTAGCTGCGCACGGGGTACATGTGGTTCTTGCGGGAAAGGCGGACGGCCAGCACCACGGTGCACACGAGGAAGGTGGTGGCCACCAGGGCCAGCACGAGGATGGCCAGCAGGCAGTGCTTCACCGGGATGTAGTCCAGGCCACTGGTGGAGCTGGAGGACACAGGGCTCCTGGGGGAGAGAACCTGGCTGTTTTCCTGCTGTTTGATGAAGCCATCGGACGAACTGCTGACTGCCACGGCGGTGCTCCCGGGGGGATCAGAGGGCACAGGACGGGCTGTGGTTAGGCCCCGGATGGTAGCGGGTTGTGTGGATGGGGCCTCCGTGGCCTGAGGTTGTGTGGTCAGGGCCTCCGTGGCCTCGGGCTGTGTGGTCAGGGCCTCCGTGGCCTGAGGTTGTGTGGTCAGAGCCTCCGTGGCCTCGGGCTGTGTGGTCAGGGCCTCCGTGGCCTGAGGTTGTGTGGTCAGAGCCTCCGGAGCCTCGGGCTGTGTGGACAGGGCCTCCGTGGCCTCGGGTTGTGTGGTCAGGGCCTCCGTGGCCTCAGGTTGTGTGGTCAGGGCCTCTGTGGCCACAGGTTGCGTGGTCAGGGTCTCCGTGGCAGCTGGCCCCAGGAACAGGGCATTCACGGAGGCCAGCTCTGTGGATGGAGCCCCCTGTGTGGATGGAGCCTCCACGATGGGAGGGATTGACGTGACCAGCTCTTGGGGCAGAGAGACCGGTGTGATGGGAATCCCCGCTGTCACAAATTCCGTGCTGAGGTCCCCAGTGGCTGCCCCTCCTGCATCCAGGCCGGCAGAGACGCCTCCGGCCACCCCCGGAGTGGCTGGCTCAGGAGTACCAGGTCCTGTAGAGTCCCTCTGCCCTGGCAGTCCCGTCGCAGCCTGGAGGTGGGGGCTCCGGGTCACAGCCTCTGTGCCATCACTTTCCAGCATTTCTGGAGGGTCTGTGTTATAAGACACATCGTACACGTCGACGTCCTCGTCCCCGAGGTCCACCTGCCTCCGGCCCCGGTCGAGCAGGTGGCCTGGAGCCTCTTTGGCCTCATTCTCCCAGACGTCCCACGGCTGGAGGCTGCTGCCAGGGCCCAACAGGGTCAGCAATAGGAGGAGTGGCAGAGGCATGGCACCTGGAGGGAGACACAGACAGAGGGGACATCAGTACAGCTTGACCCCTGGGCTTGCTGGGTGCCCTGGACTGTGGTTCTGGATGGCCGCAGCTGGGCGTGTGTCTGGCCTGGGCAGACGTGTAGGTTTAGGCTCCTGGCGACCAAGCCCGTGCCCGCAGCACAGCAGGCCCTCAGCAACTAGCAGCTGCTGCTGTTTATCACCATGAATAAACCCTCGTTGGGGAGCTTCCACCTCCTCTCTTCCGTGCACAGAAACCACTCGCCTCCCTACCGTTTTCAATGAAAGCTTTTTATTTGTGGGCAAGGCAGTCCACAGGGGTGCAGGCAGAAAATATTAGATCTTCTAGTTACGTGAACTTTTATGGCACCCCTTCTTGGTTTTCATGTGTGTATGTATGTATAATATAACATGAATAGAGTAGTACCTGTATACAACTTATAAGGAGATCCATGGACTCATTCACTGATGGCGTCTTAAGAGCAAAAGATTTTGGAGACCACAGATCTTCAGCACAAAGCTGCTTGTTTGGACTCCTGAGGCCTCTCAGGGTCTGATCCTGTCTTGGATCAGACTTCTACTTCCCCAGTCTTGGCTCCTGCCCCACGCAGCCCTGGCCTGTGCCTCAGATGCTCAGTTTTTCTCGTCTTTCTCAGGATCAGTCTCAGCTGGGTCTGGCCCCCCTTGGCTATGCCTTCGAGTCCACAGTGGGGAAGGCAGCCCCCACCTCAGGGGCTGCAGTGAAATTGAAATGAGGTGATACCCACGAAGCCCTTAGTACTTTGTTCCCACGAGCTCCAGCCAAGGGCAGCCACTTCCATTCTTTCAGAAACCCTATCCCATAAGTCCCCCAGGGCCCAGAGCCATTGGCTGCACTCTCTGGGGCCAGAGAAAAACCTTCTCAGACCAGCTCTGCCCTCAGGGAGCTGACAGCCACCTCATTTGCCTGTGGGTAGGTCACTGTACATTCTGGTATTGCCTTCCGCCTCCAAACCAGGTAGCCCAAAAGGCCAGTGCCTCTCCTCCGGGCCGGCTCCCTGGTCTTTCTTCTTGGCATTGTGACCGCCTGTGCTTTCTTGTTTTCTCTCTCCCCACACTTCCCGGTCCTGGCTGGAGTTTGTGCAATTCAGAATCTTGCCTTAGAGGGGTACAGCTTTGTTCCAGGGCAGGCTTTGGGTATTTCTGCGTCCCCGGACATAAGACCTTCCCACAGTGTGTCACCCCTGACACAGCGCCTGGGGCGCAGTGAGCTGGGATGACTTCCAGTACCTTCCCTATGGAGCAAGGAGCAGTTGCCTGGAGCCCCATGAGTAACTGTCACTTACTCACAGTTCCCTCGGTGTCCAGCCTCAACCTGATCTCTTTCATCTGTTGCTGAGAATTACTTTGGTTTCTAAAATGCCAGTCTGAGCATATCTTAAAATAATTTCTTAAACCAAACTTCACCATCTTTGCACTAGACACACCTGGTGCTTGCAATTACCGGTATCCTCATTTTACTGAGGAGGGATGAGGTTCAGAGAGGTGAAGCAATTTGCCCAAAGACACACAGCTGGAGAGTGGCAGAGCTCAGCTTTGAACCCAGGGAGGGTACAGGAAGGCTGTGTGTGGAGACCTAACCTAGCTGTGGGGGCAGATGGAGCGAAGGCTGAGCAGAGAGCGCAGCTCACTGGGTTTGGGACTGGGGTTGGGAACCCAGCTGGGAGGGGGAGGGCAGAGTAGGGATAAGGAGGACCTTGAAGGCCAGCTCCCTTTGTACTGGGTGCTGTGCAGGGCACAGGATTGGGGGCACGGACTACGGGGTCCGACGGAAAGGCATTTGAGTCCTGGCTGAGCCTCTTACACTCTGGATGACCTTCACACAGATCTTTGCCTCTCTGAGCCTTGGTTTTCTCATCTGTAAAATGGAACCACAAACAGTCCCTGTCTCATGGGGCTGTTGAGAGAATGCAGTGAGATGATGTGGATTCAAAAGTTCCAGGTTCACAGTCGGCGCTTAATAAATGTGTCGCACACACATGCACACAAACGAGCGCACGCACGTTCTTTGCCCCCTTGACCTCCCTTCCAGAGGTGCAGTTCCTACTGGGGGAGGAGTGTATGGCCTAACCTTGGCCCCACTTTCCCAGGGGTAGAGGAATTTAGGAGGAAGCCACCAGCTCAGAGCCTTGCTTCCTAATTATGAAAAGACTCACTCCCCACCCCCACTCACACAGTTGTCAGTTCCTGGAAGGCTGGGCTGTCAGTCACTTCCTGGAGGCAGAGCCAGAGGGGGCAAACACTCGAGGCCCAACCCGCCAGCTCCGGGCTGGGGAGAGGTCTCTGATCGAGCCAGGGGCCCCTCTTTCTGCAGGCTGGTGGCTGGGAGGATACCATGGAGGGCGGGGGTCTGTTCCCAAGGTAGACCCTCAACCTTGCTCCCATCCTCACTGTCCCCTGCATACAGAGGGGTGGGGGGGACACCCCTTAGCTGCTGTGTGACCCGGGCAGGTCACTTCCCAATCTCTGAGTCTCAGTTTCCTCACCTGTAGAATGGGTACAATTGGTTCAAACAATGGTCGCAAGAATGCGATGGGGTGCCGCAGGGCAGGTCCCCAGGGCTGGCATCCAGCAGGGGTATTTTGTTTGGGGGCCTCTCTCCAGGCCTGTGGGCAGAGAAGCAGAGGAAAGGTACACCCAGGGAGGGTAGAGATGGCAACCTCCCCCTCCCCCACAGAGAGTTAGGGAAGCTTCGGGGTCCGTGTGAGAGCCCAGGCCTCCCCCGCCAGGTGGCTCAGCTGGTTGGAGCATCATCCCGTGCCCCGAAAGGTTGTGGGTTCGATTCCCAGTCAGGGCACGTACCCAGGTTGCAGGTCCAGTCCCTGCTCTTGGGTGCATACAGGAGGCATCCAATCGATGCTTCTCTCTCACATCAATACTCCTCCCCACCCCGACTTCCTCTCTCTTTACTAAAGTCAGTGGACTTGTCCTCGGGTGAGGATTTTTAAAAAACAGGTAAGCCCATATCTCCCCGCCTGGGCCTGTGTAGGGCCACCGTCTTGTCCTGGGTGTCCCTCACATGAAACCCCCCCGTCCTGGAACCCACGCCCCAGTCCCAGGCAAGCCAGGGCAGCTGGGCACCCCATCCTGGGGCCTGCTGTCCTGTCCCACAGGCTTCAGAGGGAAGGGGCCGCACCAGGCCAAGGCTGGGCCAGCTCCGGCCCATGGAACGGGAAGAAAAGCAGCTCCCAGGGGTTCTGTGGGTCTGAGGGGCCGCAGGCACTGGGTGTGAAAGTAACTCAGACGTTGGCTGAAATAAAGTTAGTGTAATACAACGAAAGCTGTATTACGAAGCGCTCACTGTGCGGGGGGGTGGGGGAGCTCTGTTACCTTCTTACGGTCTGAGGGGACCTGGTCCCTCCTCACTCCACCCTGGGGGTGAGGGGGTACGCCCATCAGGCAGATCAGGAAAACGAGGCTCCAAGCCACTCCGTCCAGGCCCCGCCTTCCACCTGTCTGTCTACAGCTGGCAGGAAGCCGGCCACTCACCGAGGGAGGGGCTGGGTGGGGCTCCTCCAAGGCGGGCAAAGAGCTGTCACATCTTTTTTGTCTCCTACTTACCTAGGGGAGGAGGCCAGACTCTGCCGCCTGGTTCCTATCTTTTGCCCTAAAATCAGGTTGGGCTCAGCAAGGTGGGCAGCCTGCTGGGGTACCCACACCCTGGCTCCAGGGACCCACACTGTGCAGCCACCCTGGGCTCAGGAAAGATGCCCATGGGACTCCCAGACACTCGGGAGCTCCCATTCAGAACCTTGGACCCCAGGAGCCCGGATGTTCAAGTTCTTGGAAACTTAGGATCTGAAAGATGGAGGCTCTCGGGGTGTGGGCTGAGCAGCTTCAGGAGAGGGGAAGGCTCCGAATTCACAAGGCGGCCAAACCGAGGCCCAGGTGACCCCCCACCCACCAGACCCCCAATCCTACTGCAGGTCCAAGCCTCCTCAGACTGGACGGGGCCTGGCCCAACTTGGGATCAAATCCAGTATCAAACCAGATCCGATCCCAGCCCTGTCGCTTACAAGCTGTGTGACCTTGGGCAACTGAACTCACCTCTCTGAGCCCCAGGTTCCTGGCTGGAACACGGGGGCAACGGCAGCACTTGCCCCACGTGGGGCTGGGGGTTGAAGTGAGCAGGTGCAGGCTGCCTGTTTAGCACGTAGTAAGTGCTCAATAAAGGCCAGCTTTTCTCATCGTCATTCTGCATTTAGGGTCACGTCCCTGAAAAGTCCCCAACCCTAGGACAGCTTTGCCACAAGCCTGACACTGTCGGTCAGAGAGGGCCAGGAGGAAGCCCTGGGTGCAGGGTAGAGCCTCGGCCTCCTCTGGCTTGTAAATCACATACAGGTCCGGCACAAGTGACACCCCTTTTTTATCCCAACATCATAAGCATGTAATTCTGTAACATAACAACAGCACACTCAATCACGCGCTATGACATTTTAGGTGACATATTCAAATTCAAACTACGAAGTATTACACCCACGTTATCACCCTACTGACCACACTCAAGCAGGACTTGCTCCTGCTGGACGCTGCCGGTGTCCGTGGAGTGTCGACCCCTCACCAGGCCCTGGTCTAAGAGCTCTACATGAATTGTTACCTCACTGGGGCCCTACATCCTGAAGCAGCGGCTTGTCCCTTCTGAGCCCCGGTTTTCTCATTGCTAAGAAGGGGGGACGGGGTTCTCAGACGGCTCCTGGGCCCCTCTGAAGGCCCTGCTCTGGCCTGGCCAAGGTTCCCCGGGGGCGCGGCCAGGAGCCTGGCAGCCCAGCCCTCCCCACATCCGGGTTTTGCTCTCCTGAGGCTACTGGTCAAGCCTGGTGAGGTGGCATTTGCCACTTGGGGTGTGGCCAGCCCAGGGAACCCCCTGAGAAAGCCACTCCTGGGACTCGAGGCCGGGGGGCCACTTCCTGAGCCCTCTGCCCAGGGATGTAAGGGGCTTGGCCTGGGGAACTCAAAGTCAGAGGTAGGAGGGGAAGCAAGCAAGAGGGTGCGGGAAGGAAGAAGGAGAACCCCAGGTAACCAGGGCCCTGACCCTCGTCCATGGCGTGCGTGCACAGGGGGCCCTGCTTTGGCCACCAGCCCCCCATTTTCCTTTTTGTCCCTAAGGCACCCCAATATAAGGGTTTTTTTTGCTAGCAATAGTATCCTAATTCTAATATTTAAAAAATGGGCTATTAACACATGTCATTTCCTCGATCTTATTAAGAACACAGAAAGCGCCAAGAGCCCTGGCCAGGTGGCTCTGCTGGCTGGAGCGTCGTCCCGGACGCCAGGAGTCTGGTCAGGGCACATATAGAAAGCAGTAGTTCGAGGTTTCTCTCTCACATCAGTGTCTCTCTCTCTCTCTCTGCCTCCCTCTCTCTCTAGAGCCAAGGCACACATCCTCGGGTGAGGATTAAAAAAAATAAACAAACACACAATTAACATGCAACAGCACGGAGGAGCCTGCAGCCCTCCAAGGAGTCGACCAGGCCCCACCCCAGCTCCACGTCTGAGCAAATCCCTTCACCTGTCTGGGCCCTGGACTCCTACCCAAGGGAGGGGGGGTAGGATGGTTTTTAGGGAAATGCTCCCCGTTTCCCCAGTATTTTGAATTCAGAATATTCCCAAGCCATGAGGGCAGATGGCAGGAGAGGGTAGCAGGCCCCAGTGGAGACAGCAGAATGAGACCACGCACTCCAGGGAGACCTCGGTCCCACGCGCCCTGACTTTTGGGTGGCCCTCCCTCCCCAGGGGCCACAGCTCAGGGCCTGGCCCCACCTGCCCTCAGCTGGCAGGCAGGGCTGCTGGCTCCTGGGGTCCCCCCAGCCACTCCCTGTGGTTTTAGAAGCCAGCCAGCACTTACCGTGCTCAGTAGAGCATGGGACAGTTGCCTTGTGGGCCCAGCAGAAGTGGCTTCTCTGTTTTAGCGACAAGGACCCAGCGGCACCCCCTGCCGTGGTCCTAGACCCTGCCAACGCCCAACGGCCGAGTGTGAAAAGAGGAAGCGAGAATGTGGTTACTCAGAGCCACGTGACGGCCCATACCTCCTTGTTTGTGACAGCTCCAGTGACACTGCTGACTGCACAGGGTAGGGGTGGGAGGCAGGGCCCTGCGGGCCTGATGTCACATCTGGGTTCCAGTAACCATGCAAACACTGAGGACCACGTGGAAATCTGGGGAGCAGAGGTTGAGGGGACCCAGCAGTGGAAGGCCACAGCATTACACCACAGCTGAAGGACAGCGGTGGTGACAATGGACACCGCCCTTGTAGCCAGAGGCAAAAGAGGGCGGGTGTCGCTTTTGGCCCAGGAAGGGAGTGGGCGTAGAGAACGTATGACCCCAGGCCCTTCCCGAAGTTTGTGAACCTAATGGGGTCCCTCTTTTGTGATCCAAATGTTCTGAGTGCACAGGGGCCCCCTCTGGCTGCAGCCCAGAATCTCCCTGTGGACTTACACTGCCAGGTCCCCAGGGGCCAGGCCTGCTTGTTTTCTTTTCCAACTTGTTTGTTTAGGCCGCCCGGGCACCCCAGGCTGCATGCGCCCAGATCCAAAGCCAAGCCATTTCAGACTCCCACCCTCCCGTAGCTGTTTGTCGGGTGGGGAAGCTGTCAAAAAAACAGACCACAACAACACTGTGTGATGACAGAGGCACCCTGTGGCGAGCCAGGGAGGGGCCCCACCCTAACCTGGGTGGGTGGGGGTGTCAGGAGACTCTTCCAAGGAGAAGTGGCCCTTGAGATGACAGGTAGGGTGCCCTGGTGGGGGGCAGCCCAGGCACAGAGCAGAGCACAGGCTGGGAGGCCTCGGAATGCAGAGCTCTTGAGAAAGGGGCTGCACTTGGCAGCAGGCGGGGCTCAGACCGCGCAGAGAGGCTCACTGGCCGCCACGCACACGGCTTGTTTCCACAGGAAAACTGCAGCCCCACTGGGTGGGGTCCCTGTACTGACCTACCTCGCTTGATTGTACCCGCTTTAGGGAGCCCCACTTTATTGCACCTCGGTTTATGGCACTTCCCAGACACACTGAGCAGGGGGTTTGGTTTGTGTGCTTGTTCTTCTGGGCGTGTTACCAACGAAAGCGAGTGGTGACCCTGCAGTGGGCAGGGATCTCGGTGCCATCTGCTCCCTGCTTGTCTCCGTGTCACATTTCTGGTACTTCTGGCAAGAGTTCAGACCTTCTCCTTATTGTATTTGTTGTGGTGCTTTTGTAACCAGTGACCTTTGAGGGGTCGTTCGTGAGAAGACTCGGTGTTGTCTTATTTTAAGGCACCACCACGGCCGCCTCCCCCTTCAGCAACCGACCCCCTGATAGGTCAGCAGCATCAACTCGGAGGCCAGACCCTCCAAAAGATTACAATTTGCTGAAGGCTCCGATGGCTGGCGTTTTTTGGCAGTGCAGTATTTCTGAACTAAGACATTGTTATTTATTTATTGATCCTCCCCCGAGGACATGCTTATTAGCTTTAGAGGAGGGGTAGGGAGAAAGAGAAGAAACATTGACGTGAGAAATAAATATCAATTTGCCTCTTGCACACACCCTGAGTAGAGACCAAATCCGTGACCTTTCCGTTTACAGGATGACACTCCAGCCGAGCCACACCAGCCAGGGTGTGTTTTTTAAACACACTTAATACACGACAGTATAGTGTAAACGTAATTTTTACATGCACTGGGGAATCCCCCAAATTCGTGTGATCTGCTGTATTGTGGGGGTCTGGAACCCAACCTGCAGCCCATCCGCGGTCTGCCTGTATGGGGACACACCTAATGGGGGTCACCCGTGAGCCACACGGTCTCACCACAGCACCTGTCACCACGGCCTGCCCAGCTGTGCTTGTGCAGTGTGGTCTGTTTGGTCGCATGCTGCTCCTCTGCGGTGCCTGGGTGGGCAGCGGACTGGGGAACTGTTCACACCAGTGACGAGAATAGTCCTCAAAAACTTAATACCGTAGAGCAAGACAAAGAAAGGAAGCATGAGGTGGCCAAAGCCAACCAAGTTTAGCTTCCACCACCTGGCATTTACCAGGCACCAGCTGGCCACGTATGCCTTCAGTTATTAAGGAAAACGGGGTTGGGGGAATTAAACACTTGTGGGATCCTGCAAATTTGTGCCTGGGCCAATTTGTGACGGGCCGGGTACAGGTGAGATCTGACCGCCTATTCGTAATTCGCTGGGAGCACTCTGCGGCTCCTTCCCCACGATGCCCACTTCCTGCGGCCTTTCTGCTCATCTCCCTGAAAACTGCAGGAAAACAGGGGCTTTCACAGGGCCACGCCTGCCTTCCCCAGCGCGACTAGGAGGCTGAGGCCCAGGGAAGGGCCCAGGGCACCCAGCCGGCCAAGCCTGCCTACACTTTCTCCCAAACCAGAGTCCAGCTGGCCGGACAGCCCCAGCTATGCAGCCCCTTTCTACAGGGCAGCACTTTCTGAGTTTGCCTGCCAGCCATGGGACCTTTGATCAATGAAAGCCAAGGTCTCATAGAGAACCGAGCTGCTGTAATGAAAGGCCCAGCCCCGGGAGGGAAGGGAGGCCTGATACCCAGCTGTGGCCCCCTATCCTCCTCTGCCATTGAAGGGAGAGCTCCCAGGCTGAGATTTGTGTATTGGAACCATTTAAAGGGGAAATAGCCACGCTGAAGCCACTGCAGCTGGGGTGCAATTCCTCTTCTGAAATGGGAACAGAACTGCAGGGAGTTTCTGTTTGGCCCAGCTTCTGGCTGTCCACCTGGGGCTGCCGGGTTCTGGCTGTCGCATCTGGGATGAGAGCTCGCGGGGTGAAGCCGGCTCTCCAGAGTGAAGAGCAGGGCTCCTCAGGGGTCACTGGGTCAGCATGGGCACCGAGGGGTGGACCTCAGGGACTGCTCCAAAACCTAGAAGGTCAGAGGGCAATCTAATCTAGAAACGTGTTCCAGACTCAGTGGTTGCTCAAGAACAGTTTAGCAGCTGCAGGAATCCATGCCTGCAACGGCCAACCCTGGCGTGAGGCTTTGGCAGCATGGGGATGAACAACCCTGAGTCTCAGGCCTCAAGGGGCTCCGAAGCAGACCCGCATGAGGAGGGGGTCGATTCAAACTGGCTTAGGTGGCAGTAGGATTCTGGGGTATCTCATGGAATTTAAGGTCAGAAAAACAGCTAGATGTTAGGTGTGGACTTAGGGAGCAAAGGGACCCAGAAGCCCTTCCTCTGTCACTGTGCACCTGCTCTGTCTGCTGGCTCCCTAGTCCCCAACTCCCAGGCCCCTGAGAACAAAAACTCAGATATGATGCACTGGAGGTAATGAACTCCCAAGGGGCTCACTGGCCCAGCCTGGGGTGACCCGTGGTCAGGAGAGGGCTGTATTCTGCAAATTTCTGCCACACTGATAATCCAATAGGTGCCCCATACCCAGATATCTGTATTTTCAACTCATTCATTCAACATTTATTGACACAATGTGCCAGATCCTAGGGACACCATAGAGAATGAAAAAAGTGCCTGTCCACATTGTTTACCTTGAACTTGGGGGAGACAGTCAAAAACTCAACAAGCTGACAGATCTGACAATAATAATAAAGTATAATGGGGAAGATGGCAGGGGAACGAGCTGTGCAGATGCTGGTGGTGGGGGAAGGGCGGGAGGTCCAAGGAACAGCACATGCAAAGGCTCAGAGGCAGTGGGGCCTCCGGAGAGGAGGTTAGGGGTCTGCAGGAACAGGGTGCCTCTGCCGATCATGAGGATTTTAGCTCGTATCCTGAGTGGGACGAGAAGTCATGAAGAATCAAAGTATAGGGGGTCAGCAAGCTTTTTCTTAACGGGCCAGAGTAAATACTTCACTTTGGGCCATAGGGTCTCTGTCACAACTACTGAACTCTACAAATGTGGAAGGGCAGCCACGGATGGTCCTTAAACAGATGGGTGTGGGTGTGTTCCCACTCTATTTATGGACACTAAAATTTGAATTTCATGTAACTTTCCCTTGTCACTATCCTTTCGTTTTTCCCCAACCACTTAAAAATGTAAAATCGGCCCTGGCTGGTGTAGCTCAGTGGATTGAGCGCGGGCCTGGGAACCAAACAACCATGGTTCGATTCCCAGTCAGGGCACATGCCTGGTTTGCAGACCAGTTCCCAGCAGGGGATGCAGGAGAGGCAACCATACATTGATACGTCTCTTCTCTCTCCTTCCCTTCCCCTCCAGATAATAAATAAAATCTTTAAAAAAAAAATGTAAAACCGGTTCTCAGCTTGTGGGCAGGGGACAACAGAAGCTGTTTGGGAAGCTCTGCCAGCTACATCACGGGTCAACCTGACTGGGCCCCAATGTGCTCAGACATTTGGTCAGACTGTGAGGGCATTGTTGGGTGAGATGAACATGACTGGGTACACTGAGAGGGGCGGACTGGCTTCCGCACTGTGGGGGGGCCTCACCCAATCCGTCGAAGGCCAGGAGGGGCCTCCTTGCCTGACAGCCTGTGAGCACTGGCGTTTTGGCTGCCTTCACACTCAAACTGGAACGCCTTTTTGGGGTCTCCAGTTTGCCAACTGGAGATCTCGGGACTCAGCCCCCATAATTGCGTGAGCCAGTTCCTTATAATGAATCTCTCTATAAATGAGTATCTTTGGACCCTTCCTATCTGAGATCCCTACTACAGGAGATAAGTCCACACCAGAGATGAGAAGGGTTAACAGTGAAAGTGTGAGAAGTAGCTGGCAAAGTGTGAGAAGTAGCCATGCCCTGATTGGTATGGCTCAGTGGGGCGGGCATCCTCCTGCAAACCAAAAGGTTGCCAGTTTGATTCCAGGTCAGGGCACATGCCTGGGTTGTGGGACAGGTCCCCAGTTGGGGGTGTGCAAGAGGTAACTGATCAATGTTTCTCTCTCACACCAATGCTGCTCTCCCTCTCTCTCTCCCTCCCTTCCCTTCTCTCTAAAAATCAAATCTTAAAAAAAAAAAAGTAGCTAGAATAGGATGTAGTTGGAAGCTGGCACCAACACGCACAGTCAACAGCCTGTGTGTGTGATCTGAGAGATTGGAACCAGGTAGGGTGGGAGGCTGGGGCTCAAGGGGCCCTCATAGAAAAGGCTGAAGAGGGTGGACTTGGGCCTCCCTGTGAAATCTTGACAGATTCTGTTCCAGAACACATCACTCTGGAAGCAAAAAAGGGAACAAACAAGTGGGTGGAGGTAGAGGAACCAGGTTTAAAAATGGCCTGGTCTGTATAAGGAAAGGTGTTTGGCAGGGGCTCAGATAAGAATCTCCACCCAGCAATGTCACTCCAATAAATTAAAAAAACCTTCACTTTGCCATCTTTGCTGATATTCTGATACGCCGCCTCTAGTAGAAACCAGCCAGGGTGATAACTCACTTGTCATTCTGAAACCGTAGTTGAGGGCGGCAGGACACAGCCAAGGCATCTGGTAACCATGAGATGCTCAGTCTGCCTCCTACGACCCAAAGAGCACCTTGACGTGGAAACAAGTCTGCAGCAACTTCCTGTTATTTACTGGGCAGCCTCCCAGCTCTCAGGTTCCTCACCGCAGCCTCGGCTCTTGGATTTCATTCTGAAATCCCGATGGTTGACTTCTCAACCCTCAGGGCACGGAGCTCAAACCCCTTTCCTTGCTGGACCATTAGGCCATTCGCTCCCCAGTTTTCTCCAGGACCTTTATACTGTCACTATAAAAAAATACTCACTTGGCGAATGCCAGGATGAACAGAACCATGTCCAGTGGGTGGATGGGATTACGTAGGATCAGGAATGAGACAGGGTTATGATGGTGAGCCCTGCTCCTAGGACCTGAGAGCACCTGGTGAAGGTGAAGTTCAAATCTGGCAACCTGCACCCCGCTCAGGGCGCCCAGGCACCTGAGTGATCCCTTTACACTGCAGTCTATTTGCATCGCAGGCTGGCCGTGAAGGTGGGGAAAGTGCCTCATGTATCTGAAGCCTTGGCACCTGCACACAGCGCCTGGTACCAGGTGAGCCCTGGCTCCTCCCCTTTGTAACACTGACAACTTTGTCTCCATCACCCTAAAGCTTTCCCAGAACTGCCCGCTGGGGTCCCATTGGAATCACCTCTCCATGGTGCTGTTCCAAAACCCCAAAATCCTTTCCCCCAAAATCCACTTAGTCTTTGAAATGTGAATAAGCCGCCATTGAAAGAAGAGCAAAACCTAAGCACCCAGTGGCCAGTCCCCAAACTCGAGCGCACATGAGTTTCCTTTGGTGACAGAAGAGACACCCCCCCCCCCCCGTCCACTTGCATTTCAAATGCCGACCTCTGCACTGAGCACTGGAATGGAGTCCCTTCTCGTCTCCTGACTCCAGACGTCTGGGCCATGGAGACTTTACCTGCCAAGGTCCCTTACCATGCAGTCTGTCATGTGAACCGAGTTCCTCACCCCCAACTTCCATGCCTCCCCCAATTTACTCAGGCTCTTAAAATGTTTTCTTACCCAGTTTCAATTCCATGCAACAAAATAACACTGCGTTTCAAAGATCCCACCAGCCTAAAACCACCTTCCTCCACATGTCAACCACTCCTACAAACTTAGCAGCTATCTTATCTTCTAGTAGCTTCCGAGGGGGAGCAATTTCTCACGCCCCACTTCTCCCTTCCACCCCCTCCAGAAACTTGAGACGGGAGGAAGTTCATAGAGCACGCTGCGGCCAGTGTCTCCTAGTGAAGTCCTTCCACCTCCAAGTCCGGGACAATCCATTTGCTGGTGGATGCCCTTGATGAGGCGGGGGGACCAAAAATGCTGCCTTTGGGACTTAAAATCAGACACTCTCTACCCAGGTGGTGACGCCATCCCTGTGTCAGTCAGAGGCGGCGGCTGGGACTGGGAGCAAGCACTAAAATATACTGTCCCATGTCACATGGGTTGAAAATGTCTTTCCCAGTTTGCACGGCCTTCGTTTTTTGACATCTAAGTCTTACATAATTTGATTTTTATGGAGCCAGTGTATCTCTTCCTATGTGATTTATTCTATTGCTTCGGGACTTAAAAGGCTCTCCCCAGTCTGAAGTCTAGAATAAGAAGGAACTTACTTCTTGCTTATAGATTTGCAAAAAAAAAAAGTTTCCTCTCATTAACTATCGACTCCATTAAGAATGTACAGTGTGTCACCAGGAGGCTCTGCACCCAGCGCCACTTAATGGAGCCACAGCGTTTCCTTCCCTCCACTGACGTAGGATGCCACTTTCAATGTGCTACTCATTACCTTGCATACATTACTTTAACTGTTCCTTTCTGGGAATGAAGACGTTTATAGGACATTCAGAAATTCAGAAAACTCCAATTACACAAAGATTACTCAACATTGCTAAGTCCACATAGTAACATTTGTGGCATTTACTCTACACATAAATATACAGCACATAGTCCTGTGATGTATATGTATGTGTAGGTTGGTGTGGCTCAGTGGACTGAGTGCAGGCCAGTGAACCAAAGGGTAACTGGTTTGATTCCCAGTCAGGGCACATGCCTGGGCTGCAGGCCAGGTCCTCAGTGGCGGGCGTGTGAGGCAACCACACATTGATGTTTCTTTCCCTCTCTAAAAATAAGTAAAAATCTACATAAACCCCCCTTTAAAATATACATCTTATATACTTATGCCCTTAAAAGGGTTTGCCAAAAAACGATCCCTTCTGGTGTGGTTATTCGATTTTCTCTGTCTTCGTTCACAGCACTCGGCCTGGCCTCCTGACTCAAGTCTGGTCTTTTACTTTTGCATGAACATGTCTAATGGACTTGACACCCCTCCCCCACCTCACTTTTGAAAAAGTACTTTGATAAGCCAACTAACATCATTTACCTCAAAGTGACTTCATGGCAGGGAGTTGAAGAGAATTCTTTTCAAGCACAGACTTTACTGTTCTGAGGACATCAGCAGAACCGTTCACTGTGGGGCACTGGGAATAGAGCAGGTGGCAGCCACCCAACACCCTGAAACAATACTCAGCGACTTCAAGTAACTACGCAGCAGGGGTGTCAAACCCATTTTCACTGGGGGCCACACCAGCCTTGAGGTTGCCTTCAAAGGGCCGAATGTAACTTGAAGACTGTGTAAATGTACCTGCTCCTTAACTGGGGGCAAGGAGCTCGGCGCTGCTGCCGGGCAGAAACGGTGCCGGGCCGGATAAAACACAGTGGAGGGGTGGATTCGGGCCTCATGCTTGCCACCTGTGCTACCCAGCACCACAGTATATGAATGTGACAAGTAAATTAACCAATCTTGCTGGACTTATTGTTTTACTCTTCTAATTCCTGAATGTATCTCCCATTAGTTTCTTTGGAACAAAATCCTGGGTCAAAAGAAAGAACATCTAAGACTTCTGATACTTCCTGTGCTGCCCTCTTGAAAGGTTGTACCAATTTCCATAAACTTCCTCTAACAGTGGAGGAAAAGACATTTTTTTAATTAAAAAAAAAAAAAAAAAAGGGAACAACGGGCCCTGTCCGGGTTGGGTAAGGAAAGGTGTGTCCCCGGGGACAACTCAGGTAGTGACCCAACGACGGCTGTGGGACATTCCAACATGCCAGCAAAAGGAGACGGACCGGGCCACTTAGCGTGAACAGATTCTCAGGAGCCGACAGTTTTTCTAGACACAACATCAAGTACAGCAAGGGAAGTCACCTTTAAAGAAAGGGAAGTCCTCCCTCAGCAGGGCCTGTCTGGGGCCAACACCGAGATCTGTTTGTTAGCTCTGCTGGCAAAGAAACAAGGTGCCAAGTGGGCAAACCAGCCAGTCGTAAACATCCCATACCACACGTCTCCCCCCGACCCCGGGCTCGGAGGGGCTGCAGACAGCATCTGCCAACTTCCGCTTCTTGCAACCACGCACTGACCACGGGCCTGGCCGCCGCTCTTCTCCAACACGACGGTGCATTTAGAAGGTATTTGAGGAAGGGCAGCTGTGTGCCAAGTGGCCATCACACTTATACTATTTAGAAAAACTGAACAGTGGGAAATTCTTCACCACAATCACTGAAGTGCCGTGAGGCAATGTTTTAGTGCAAAAAGGGAAGCCCTTGAAAGAGGGCCATGACATTCAAATGACCCTGAAAACCTTCTGCTGGAATAAAAATCACAACCAGTTTTCCTTCTACTGAAGGAAAAAAAAAAATGCTTTCAAAGGCCCGGACCGGAAATGTGCTCCCAGCAGTAACAATGGCAGCCACGCAAAGAGGGGCACTCAAGCCGCCGGACCCAGGTATTGGTCTCATCCACACTGGAATGGAATTTCGTCATGCAGGATGAGAGAAGGGGCCACCCAGATCAGGGAGTCTGCCCAGGCCCCACCCCGGGGAGGCTGCAGCAGCCCTCGAACATCCGGGCCTGCTGGGGTCGGGCCCGTCGGCACTCCCCACGGCCCCACTACGCGTCCCCTCTTGCTGGGGCTTCGCGGCCCACCCACACTTCTCCTGCACTTGTACACACCGTTGGAGAGGAAAAAGTCACCTGGCAAGTTCCGCTGAGTCAGAGAGCTGTGACAGAGGGCGTGGGCTGCCTCAAAGACCGCTATGTGTGAAATAAACACAGACACAGTTTTGTAATCAATGATTTTTTTTTTTTAATCTTTGAAAATGGAAGCAAGTGTTTTGACAGAATACTATGGCCGCTCTATAAGAGCCGATCTAGGAGTAATTCACTGGTTCTTCTCTGGGATAGCACGGCTTAAAAAAAAAAAGACACAACAGGAAAAATACACCACAGTGCTGCGGGCGCCGACTCTGAGCCCGGCTGGGCGTCGCTCCTGAGACAAGTCACAAGCCACACACTAAGGCCAGGACAGCTTTTCCTTGCCTCCCTCTTCGCTCTGAACCGCAGTCCCTGTGGCATTTCACCAGCATCAGCAACAATTTTGTTCACTTAATTCGTTTGACATCGGAACCTTAAAACATTTCTGAATCTTAAAAACAAAGGCCCTCAGCAGATTATATTGGTAAAGAAACATGTACAAGTCACTGTAATTACTGTTTTCTTTACATCTCATCATCCACATCAATATTAAAATACACACACACACACACACAAAACCACACCGAACATTCAGATGCCCTGAAGTCACGGAGACGGCGATTCCAACCTCGGTTAAGAACACGGCACCTCTTCTAGGCAGACGTCACTCCCAGTGTGGCTGTGCATGCCAATCCCCGTGCGCACCCTACCTCCATCCTGGTTCCCTGCATTCAGACGCATCCGGCCAGTCCTGTCCCCACACCAGCAGGAACGTATGCAAGCGAGTTCCCGTCGTGGTCCCAATGGCACTATACGTTTCATGTTCAATCACAGACACTCACTCCTTGCAAAACAGAGGCTCCTTAGATCTTGTTTCTCAAACATGCAGTATGAAAAATTGGAAGCGGAGAGAAGTTCTAGCTAACCCTGGGATGGGCAGGTGATCAGAGCTCAGCCTCTGGCCTCCCCGAGTTGGGGGAGCCTCTGTGCTTTGACATAGCCTGGCTGCACGCAGGAGGGGTAGAGCGGGTTAGTTTGTGTGGAGGGTGCAGAGGGACACACTTGTGCACATAAAAGCTACAGCAGAGATCTGCGTTCCTGGTCTTGCTCCATTCTAGACCATTCTCCTAAGTCTCAGTATTCAGTAGCACCCCCTGGCCTCACTTAGCGGAATGCAGTCAGGGCTGAAAGGCAGGATGGAGAGGGGAATGGTGGGGGGAGCCCTGAGAGAGGTGGCTGCCTACATGAGGAAGAGGGCAGGGCAGGCGCTCTGGTGGCGCGCACGAGAGCACTTCTTCCTCCAGCACAACACGGGGACAGCATGGGACACGCAGGAAAGCAGAGATCACAAGGGGCCAATGCTCCCTTCCCGGTTCCCTAGTCTGTGGTCCCCCATGTACCCGAGAGCTACGTAAGCTGCTGAAATGGGCAAGAAGGAACACTCCACAGTACAGGCGTCCTCCTGTCCCGGCGCCCTTGTCAAGTACTGACTGAAACCCGAAACACGATGTTTGGAGTGATGACTGCGACAGAGCCCACGTGGGTAACAAAACGGCAGAAACACATGCTAGTTTAGGTTAGGTTATAATCATCTGAAGCACAGGGCAACCAAGAGGCGAAATTCCATTCTGGTACAACCACCCAACTGCTAGGAAAGAGAAGGGAGAGAAAGGAAATGACAGGATGAGCATTTCTGATCAGAAGACTCAATGCAACGAGAGGGGTGGTGACACGAATCCACGTGATTTTTCAAGTCTTCCTTGTGTACAGTCATCAAGATGACCAGGTTTGTGCTGCGGACGAGCCAGCACGATGTGGCTACTGCTCTGATTGTTCTCAGATGAGTGTTTATACAAAATAATATCTTATCTTCATTTAGTTTATAAACATACACAGTGCTGTCCCTTTCAAATTAAGGAAAAAAAACCACACACAAATACTGCAAAGTAGCAAAATACAAAGGAAAAAAAAGTTACTTTTGGTTTTGGCAACATTAAAAAAAAAAGAAATATAAAAAGCAATGTGGCATTGGTCCCTATTTGTTAAAAAAAGGTACTTGGGCACGACACTGAATCAGAATTGGTTGGGTTTCTAAAATTCAGAGTATCTTGGATTTTAAAAGTAGCACTTTTGTCTTTTAAAAGTTCAACAAGTCACATAAACACTTAAAACATCAAAAAAGCTTTCTGATAAAAAGCCCAGCTTTTAAATCACATTTTGTTTCTGCAAATTTGGGAGACGAATTGAGTTCTTACTGGAATGCGGCCCATCGCTGGCTGACAAACCGGAAATGAATGTCTCCAAACGGCAGAGCCCCCCTCGCGCCCTCCCTGGGACCACACCAACGACCAGCTACCAAGCACAAGTTCTTGCTCCCGTTCTGGGGGGTGGGGGTTGACCTTCAGGCAGCTATCTTTGCCATCTGCTCTTCTAACTTGGAAATACGCTCATCTTGATTGCAGATTGTGTCTTTTATAGATTTGATCTCTTTTAAAATCTCGTCCAGCTTGGCTTCATTTTGCTAAGAGAACAAAAAAAGGAGGGAAGGGAAGAGGTGACTAAAAAGCAGTCCACGAAGTCCAAAGCAGTTGAGAAGTATAAGGCATTCAATGGGATTTTCCATTTTGGAAGTGGCAAGCCACAACTGCCAGGTTGGGCCTCATCAGCAAGGAATTAGTGCTGGTTGGCCCACCTGACGGCCCCAGCCGAACAGCAGCAGGCCGCAGTGCTGCTTCCCATCCCTGCGCCTGCGCACTGACCTGGGCCTGCTCTCAGGACACAGTTAAACTCCAGGACAAGGCTCATTCCTTTGAGGCTGCCCTAACTCCCAATCCTGCAGCTCTGCCAGAAGTGGCTTCGATGTGACCCGGGTGAGGGGTGAACTTCTAGAGGCCACAGAGCTCCTACCATTTTCCAGGGAGGAACATTCTTGGGAGTGAAATCTGTTGCCCTGTCTACTAACTGTTCTAAAGAGCCCGAGCCTCACCAGCGTGGAAATGATTCCTTTAGAAACCTTGAAATCAACGCAGTGCACAAACAAGGCTGCGCTCGTGTGCTTCCCCAATCACGCCAAAACACCCGCTCTCTGCCTCTCCGTTCCGCTTACCTTCCCACCGACGATTCACTGCCCTCCCCATCTCCTGCCCGCCCCCTGCCGTGGCAGCGCTCTCCCGTGCCATGCCGGTCTTCAACGTCAGGTGGCAGTTTCCATCACTCCACTGAAATGGTTCTTGCCGGGGTGCCCAAGATCATCTCTGTGGCTAAACACTACTCACTGCCAGGTCCTTCTGTCACTCAGACCCTCAACAACATCTGACCCACCTGGCACGCCCTCTTTCCCAGGGCCTTCTCCTCCTAGCAGCTGTGACCCCACGCCCTCATGTTTCACTTTATCCAAATTGGAGAAGGGTGAGGTGTACACAGTTTGGGGAAAGACGGTTAAGAAGAACCCAGGGGCTTTGGTTTACTACCGAAGACACAGAAGACCAAGTCGTTGTAAGAAAGAAGCCAAACTTGGCCACAATTCCAATGTCGTGACTGAGGAGACTCATAAATAAGCTACCATTTACTGAGATCCCCTTCTGTCCACGGCTGGGACATCACCAGCTGGTGCGCAGGACCGGAAGAAGCTTTCAAGAGGACGAGGCCTGAGCCAGGCAAGCCCACCCCTCAACTGCCTGTGGTCCTTACCACACTGGTCGTGTCTGTGGTTTTCTTGGAGACAGTGATCAGGTCACACTTCTTGTTTGCAGTGGGCTTGCTATCCAGAATGTTCTTCTTGACCACCTTGAGGTCCCTGTTTTTGCCTGGAATGTATCCATGCTTCAAGGAGATAAGGATTGGGTCTGCGTTCTTCCCCTCGAACCATTCCTCTGCCTCCAGAGCGGCTTCGGGCCCTGCAGTGTCTGGGTACAGGTCGTCCTGGAAAAGGTCCGACTATAAGAGACATTTTGGGGAAACACTTAGGTAAGGGAAGGTAGGTCGGAGATTTTGAAAAACTCTTTAAAACAAAGATTGCTCAGAAAACCGGACACTTACCTTTCTGGGAACAGTCATGATAATAGGCTCACACTTTCTCTCATGAAGTTTGAAGAATCTTCAAAAGGCAAATAAAGGCAAAAGTTGCATTAAGTGAAATAGGAGGTCAAGTAGTAAACGGGCTCTATAACAACCACTTTTCTACAATGCCGTATGGGATGGGGAATGCTCTGCCCATCGCCTCGGCTGCCCCGCCCCAAGGAGTAGGTAGAATTTAGGATTCCCAGTGTACAGACAAGAAAACAGAAGCCGAGAGTGTCTACGCTACGAAGTGGTGCACTGGAGACCAGACCCAGAAGTGGCCCTACCCATGACAGTAACAGTAAAATCCCCATGATCTGGGGGTAGATCAGCTGGGGTGGAAATGACACCACCACTGACGATGATTCAGTTGTGAAAAATCACCAGACCACAGGCAGGAGAGAACGAAACCTGCAAATCAGACAATATCTAGGACTTGATGCCAGGTCTTCTGCCAACCCGAGGTGGCCAGACTAAGCACAAAAATGACTTTTTCTAAAGAAAAAAGAAAGTATCCTTACCCTAGGAATTAAAATTTTGGCATTCAAGCAAGCCACAACATAGTCAACACTCAGAAATCTGAAACTGTCTCCAATGTGGAAAGAATAGGAACATAAAGCACGAAACCTCTGCAGTCAGTACAGATGACCTGGGTTTGATGTCTAGCTCAACTACCGCAGTGCTGGAGCGTGTGACTGCCTCACCCACCCTCAAGACCCTCCTCCTCACCATGGAGGTGACAGCGCGCCAGCCGCACAGGCGTTATGTGAGGTAAAGGGGGACCCATGCAGCCCCTCCTCCTCACCTGGAGGTGAGAGCACACCTGCCGCCCAGGGCGTTACTCGAGGTAAAGGGGGACCCATACACCATGCCATGCGGTGCCCGACACTGGGTGAATGCTCAAGACAATAAATAGGAGGGGTCCTGAATGGTTCTATGGCTTTTTAAACTTTTAGGTGACAAGAAAATCAATGTGTTCCCAAACACTGAATATAATCTTAAATTCAAATTCAATATATTTTTAAATACATTTGATTAGTTTGGTTTAAACCACAATTTCGAATTAATTGTGAGACCTTTCCTTCATTACTCTAGCTACAGAGAGTTGAATGTGTTTAAAAAAAAACCCCACACTGATTAATATAAAAAGAGCTTAAAATTCTTCTTTTTAAAGATGTGTCAATTACTTCAAAACGGTGTGGCCTCCACAGAAGGGCAGCGTTGCATCATGGGAACTGGGGTCTTAGCCTGGGAACGTGGTGCTACTTGTTCTGTTGTTCCAAATGGCCGAGCACCTGTGTTCGCCAGTATGAAAGGAGAGCCTGCCCCTCAGGAAGCCCCCTAGCACTATGGAATGTAACGTATTTTTCGGACTGTAAGACCCACCTAGATTTTACAGAAAATAAGAAAAAAAATTGAAGCAAAAAAATGTGACAAAATAGTTAACATAAATAACATAATATTCCGCCAATGTAAAAATGTAAATGTAAACAGAACTCAACAGCAGCATTAATAACTATTATTCCTCCCAAATTGCGGGGGGTGGGGGTGCATCTTACAGTCTGAAAAATATGGTGCATTTTTTAAGGATCCAGAGCAATACAGAGAGGCGGGGATTCTATAGCACTTCCCACACCCAGTGACCCCAACCCAACTCCCTGCTGCAGGTCTTTGCCTTCTCTCGTTTAGGCCCACGGCATCCACAAGCCACGTTGCAACCTGGTTTGTCCCCTCACAGGGCAGGAAAACCACCCCTTATTTCCACCTCAGGGGCAGGCTCTCCCCTGCTTCCTCCCAGGGGACACCGGCCACAGCCTCAACCTGAAGACAAGAGATGACAGTTTCACTATTCAAGTAAGTGTCCGACACACGCAGGCTAAGCCACTTAACTGCCGCACAGCTAGTTATACAATCTGAAGAACGGAGAGGGACACAGTTAGATTAAATGATTTGGAAAGGTCCCCCCTGCCCTCTATGCCGCACACGAGGGAAGGAAGACCCGGGCACCAGAGAATCACAGAAGCAGTTGTGCTGCTCCCGTGGACCACAGACAGTGTAAGCAGTCCCAACGCTTCACGTGCCGATTCTTTACCTGGCAATCTCACATTTGTTGACATCAAGCCCCCTCTTGGGCATGTAACCCATCCCTCTCTGAGGCTCCTTGCTGCTGAATGTGTTGAGGTAGTGGACATAGGGGGATTCATCCGTGATCTCGAAATAGCGGATGCTGCTGTCACCCTACAAGAAATGAGAGACCGGTTTGTGTTCACTATTAACTGAAACAGCTCATGTAAGTGGGTATCTCTCTCCCCTATAAACCATGTATTAATTAGGGCTCTGCTCCAGCGGCTGACTTTTCTTCCTCTTAAGAGGCTTGCCGAAAGCACATGGTGCATTCTCATCCTGGCAGAGTAAGCGCTCGCTTACCAAACACCAGCATGCCCTTTAAACAGTCTCCTCTGCCCCCTGCTGAAGGCTCAAGGTTACTTCACGGAGTCTGGGCTCCAAGTCAGAGTCAGGGCAAAAATGTTCCCACCTCCGTCAAACACCTGCACTGCAATTCGACTTCAAAAGGCAAACAAAAGAGCAGGACTGTCGAGAGGGCAACCACTGGTCTAAGTTATACATTCACAGGCACAGGGCAGTGTCGTTCAGGGACCTGAGGGCACTAATGACAGTCAGATAATAATAAAAACCAAGATTTTCCTGGTTAATAAACTTCAGTTGTATTTAACTCTACAAGGTTTGCTGTCTCATTGCAATGTATAAATTTCTACAATGATCTTGCTTGGAATGGTCAGATCTCTTTTGGAGATCTGACGCACATGCTAGTCCGAGAACAAAGAACTGTCACACAGTTATACCAACCTGAACAATGAGGGCAATTCTGCCTGGTGGGAGACGTGAGTATGTGTGTATGGAGACACACATACACAGCTGGGCGGTATCGCACCCTAACAATCCTGTCTGTCTTCGTGATTTCCATTTGTTTCAATCATATAAATAAATGTCTAAAGCAACGGAAAAAAAGCTGAACACACACTATTTGTTCTGTGCAAACTAAAAATAATTTTCCGCCTACTGCTAACGACCCCTGGGGAACAGGTCCTTTGTTTGTCTCGATGCAGTCTATGGTAGCCGTTAACATCTGAGCAAAAAGGACTCTCAAGGAAGCAGACAAGATCTCGTTTCCAAGTAACTGACCTATAAAAATGTGAAGCAGCTCCGCAGCAGCTCAGCCAACCACAACAAGAAGGGAGACATTCTGGGCTTCGCCCAGCAAGGGGTATCCTCACAGCTTTGAGGGCCTACCTCACTCAATTTTTATTAATTCATTTATTCCAACTACACACAGTTCTAAGGAAAAAAATCTACAAAGTCATAATGAGGTTAGCACCTAGTAAAAAAAATGTCCTTTTAAGTAATAATAATAAAACCACCACCGGTTTAGTTAGGCAGAGAGCAATAAGCAGGAGGAAAGCTCCTTGCTACAGTGTGGGACAACTGTCACTTCCTGGAGCTTTAATCAGGCCGCACGTTTTCAAGCCCAGAACCCTAACACGGGGTGGCTGTAGGCCCTCAAAAGCTCACTCCCCGAAAACCCTTCTCTTTAAGAGCATGGCATGTAGTCTTAAGTATTCAACGCCAATCCTGACCTATCCCGGTTTCGGCATTACATGTGGCGAACTGGTTACTCATCCCCGATACCAATGGAGAGAAATCTAAAATCACCAGCCACACAGCACCAGCAGGCAAGTATGAGACACCAACACATAAAAACAAATACATACACACACAAACAAGAACACAAACGACAAAAGCAAAACATAAAATTTGCCAAGGAACAAACAAAACAGAGTACCAGCACGCACTCTCTGGGTCTCACTAGACAGCGTGCTGGAGCAGCTCCCTGCCGGCCTGCACCCCAGAGCCAGTGCCTGAGCCCGAGCCCGAGCCCTGCTTCGGTCAGAGGTATGAGCATGGCCTGTTACTGCCACGCAACTGGCAGGTTACAAACTGTCTGGTCTCACCTAAAACACAACAAGATCATTGTCTTTATTTTACCTTCAGACACTCACACATCAACTTCATTGAAATGACACAATACGCTGCCCAGCTACTAAATCTCTGGAGAATAACCTTTTCCTCCCACAGGATGAAATTTAACATTAAACGTCAGAATTGCTGCTCACCTTTCCACACAGGTAAATGATACTGGTGTCGGGGTCATAGAAAGGTAGCAACACCCCATTGCTAGTGTCCATTTCATGAAGAGCAATCGGTTCCTGCATGTTTTTCTGGGGAAAAAAAATATGCGCACACACACTTGTTAAGTATCAATTTTTGTAATCTTACTATGCATTCTTTACCCCTAATTAAGCTATTTTCCTAGAATAATGAAAGTGTGAACAGTGCACATAAGATATTCATACATGTAACTACCAACAGGGACACTAAACGGGATCCAACCCACTGAAAATTCTGCTGACGTGGTAACATCACAGGTGCCACTTCAGTGTCATTCTGTGACCAAGAACTCCCTTCTCCTGTGCAACTTTTATTTTTTAGGCACTTTTTTCTTATTATAAAATAAATGTATGTTCTTTAAAAAGTTACATGGAAACCCATAAAAATCGTCTCATATACCATCATCCCACAGAAGCGATGACCATTTTGGTCTGTTTCCTCCCGACACATGTACACACACAGCTAGGGAACACAACATGTGTATAGTTTAGTATTTTTCCACTTACTCTTTTTTTTAAAGATTTTATGTATTTAATTTGAAAGAAAGGAGTAGGGAGGGACAAGAAGAGGAAGGGAAACGTTAACATAAGAGAGAAATATCGATCGTCGACTCTCTTGTGTGCCACAACCAGGGACCAAACCCACAACCCAGGCATGTGCCCCGACTGGGAATTGAACCAGTGACCTTTCAATTGCAAGAAGACATCCAGCCAACTGAGCCACGCTGGTCAGGCCTTCATTTAGTTATTAATAATCAAGTTTAAAACTCATTTCCCAAGTCTGGATTCCTCATGCATTCCTGTCTTTTTAAAAAACACAGTCGACATAGACTCCTTGAGGGTATTACAATGCATTTTTGAAAGACATTTAGCAAAAAGTCTCCAGTGAGGATGAGAACTTCACATCCCAATTTAAGACAAGTGGGAGTTCAGAAAACTATATTGAGGACCCCACGATCTATGTACCAACCCGAAAACCCACTGAGAAAAGAGAGAAGGATAGATCAAGCTGGCAGAAAGGCTGGGACGGGCATACCGGGTTCCAGAGAGCCAGCTGCCGCTCGCTCATGCGGCTGAAACCGGTGGTGAAGACGTTGCCGTCAGCCAGAAAGATGGCTCTCATGGGCCGCGCGCCCTCGTGTGCTTTCTCCTTTTCCTGGAGGACAGAGAGCAAAGAGGCACATGACACACATTCAAATCGCAGGAAGGAAGGTCGGGTAGAAGGGTGGGGGCCCATACCCCAAACCCCACCACATCCTGCAGGCCATTCATGCTGACGGGGTATGTATGTGTATCTCACATTAATAACCATCTCTCCTCCCCAGGTGAGGAAGGAGACACTGGATGATTTGGTCAAGGTCCCTCAGCTCAGGTTAGGGCCTGACTCAAAAGCCTCAATCCTTCCACCATGCCCTGCTGCCCACCCAAGTCTGTGCACTGCAAAAATAAAACACGTGACAGATCCCTGCCAAATGTCTGTTTCTCAAGAGAATAATAAGCTTAAGGTTGGACATGCCTACAGTGTCTACCAACCTCACAGGACAGAGAGTCTAGTCTAGTTAGTCCCTCCCCTAACCTTCTCTGTTCAATGACAGTGCGCTACTAGTACCACCCCTGGAAGGTCCTAGCAGAGAAGGCACTCTGCACAGGGCCAGCGAGTCCCGACGCTCCAAGAGCACTAGCCACAGCTGCTGCCCACTCTGGAGAAGCACTGTAGCCACAGAACCCCCGCATCCCCAAGAAGGGCAATTTAGGACCTCAGACGGGGAGTAAGGCATTCTTGGATTCACCGCTTTCAGTCTCAACCCTGATTTAAGTCCCAAATGTCCACCTTTTGTCACTACCTGATTTTGCAGAGGCCTGGTTTAGGTGGCAGAAGCTAAGACACCGAGCTGATGACAGAACTTGCTGCATCTTTGTGAGACTTTAACAGTCATTTTTGGAACAGGGTGGGAATCAATTCATCAATATTTAGCACTAAGCTGGTAATGCAGTTAACTGGGTTAGCTGATCTAGACTTGTCAATTCTTTACCCAACTAGTGAACTAATACAAATCTTTTATTTCTTTGTGAAAAGTGGTCACCGAATGAGAGGTAAGACTTGGGTAAAAGCTGGAAACGTACAACTCTGAAGTGACTGAGAGAGCCCAGACAAGCCTTTTCTGATCCACAGGCATCTGCACCCAGCAAGGGTCTGCCGGCCAGCAGCCCCTGCAGCCTGCCTTAAAAAGCAGACAGTTCACACTCACTCAGGTGCCACAGATACTGGGGGTTTTGTCCCAAGAGTACTTACAGCAACAATTTCCTGTTTCCTAGGATCGATTACCCTCACTTTCTTGTCTTTGGAAGCCGTGCAGATCAGACTGCCATTCCGGTTCCAGCTCACATTGTAAATCATGTCCGAATGCATGTCGTCCAGGTTTATCAGGGCCTCCCCGGTCCCCACATTCCAGATGATGATGGCGTTATCACAGCCTGAGAGCAAGCACACCCCCCCCCCCCAGATATTAGAAATACCTGTACAACAGCACACTTGTGAAAACTCCGAAGACATGCATTGAGAGAAGGGTGCTGACAAGGGGGCCTTACTTACTAGGAGTTAAAAACTGAAGTGACCAAAAAAATGACAGTTGTGTAAAGGAAATCCATGTTAAAGGAAAAATACAACCTATTAAGTCTGGGTTTGTATGAAACAAACACAACCACCAAACAAAACAAAGAACTGCAAGAAAATGGAATCCTATGTTTTTTAAAGAGTTAACTGGGCGAGTGGACACCAAGTAATTGTCAGTTTCCTTTCCTAGTAAAACAAGTGTCAGGATGAATACAGCTCACTTCTTTTCCAGAGGAACTAAAAATAAAGAGCTGAAATAACTGTTTAGGACACTCAACAGAGGTGGTGGGGGGGCAGGCTAGTCAAATCAATGACGCTGTACAAGGTGGTCTTGGATTAAATGCACAGCAAATTACAGTAAGTTTAAGTAAAGGGGAGAGAACACAGGCCAAGACCGGCCTGATCTGAGAAGCCCAAACTAATCACACGGGCATGGATATAGAGAAACTGTCCCCTAAGAGGCCATACTGCTGACTCAGTCACAACCCCTAGGCTCATCCACATCCCTCCGTCAAGGGTCTGCCCGGAGTCTCTGAGACCCCTTTAAAAACAGCATCATTTGTTGCTTCCAGGACATTATCTCAAGGATGGAGAAAAAATAAGGAATGGACATGCTGAAAGTGAATTCTTGCCAATAAACCAATTTTGCAAGCATTTCAGGAAAATTAGCCACTAATAATACCCAGAACACCGAAGTTACCCAAGAGGGAGGAGGAGGAAAGGGCGGAAATACCGCATAGCACTACGAGAAGCGGGAGTGGAACTCGAGGGCAGAGACCTGACCCTCCCTCTGCCTTCTTCATCACAGGCAAACAGGTAACTTCAGCCACCAAGGATGGATCACATAGTCTTAAAATATGCAGAACGCAGCAACCAACCATTCTTCTCCTTCGCTTGTAAAGGGGAGCATGGGGATCAGCCTGCTGATAATGCTGTAAGTTTGACCTCAATGAGAAGATGAGCGGGACATTTACCATGATGGAATTCCACCTTGGGAACTGTTTTCTCTCCTTATCAAACTGAGGTCCTGAGTAGAACAATGGAAGGGTTCCCAGGCATAGTCAACGTGATTTAAAAAAAAAGCGAATCCTACATAGTGTCTTTTTGAAAAGTAGTCCTTGGTTTCAATAGGTACCTGGCCTCACATTTTTCATGTAACTCACTATATCATAAACATCCTTTATTCCCAGTTAAAAACTGAACTGCCCCCCTCCTCTTCACTGGTCAAGGGAAAGCACTTTAAAACTCCACCACTAGCATTAGCGTCCCTTTTTTATGAGCCAATTGTATTAAGTTGTAATTTGCACACAACACAGTGCACCCATCTGACATATACATTAAGTTCTGACAAACGTGTGTTCATGTAGCCACCATGACAACCACAATACAGGGCATTTCCACCACCCCACGAAGCTTCCTCTTGCCCTTTGTACTGCTTCTCTTTTAAAAGAAGATAAAATCTAAAGTGCTTTAAAAGTGAAAAATTAGAAACAATTGCAAAGTCCAGAAATGAGGGGCTGATTTATAAAACTGAGGTATCCCAACAATGGACTCTTCACGGAGTCATTGAAAATATCACAGGAAGACCATTTAAAGGCCCATGGAGAGACCACCTATGCCAAGTTTCTGAATTCATCCTCATGATTAACAACGCGTGTGTGTGCGGAAACAGCTTCCAGAAAGAAGCACCAAATGGCAATAATGATGATCCCTCTGGGTGGTGGGATTACAAGGGATTTTTCTTTTCTTCTTTTTGTTTATATGTATTCTCTATAACATACACATACCACTTCTATAAGGAGAAAAATGTAAGTGCTTCTTAAAAGGAAGAAGGATGTTTGCCTAACTGGGCTGCCCGGAAGTTGGCAGCAACACCAGAGCTGGAGCCTGGAGCTCCTGGCTGCCCTCTGTGTCCCACCTGCTACCTCAGGAATGACTAAAACTGTGGTCCGTGGAGGGCCCCAGCTGGAACCACACACCTGCTGAAATTACAGGCAAATAAATAAGCAGGCATCTGTTCACCTTTTAAAGCAGGAAGTCTTCACCTCCCACCGGACTGTCAGAGTGGCCTCAGCACACGTGGTCTGGGGAACCCCTGTGTCTAGCCCCTCACCATGGATTCCTAATGACCCACTTCAAAACTGCTCAGAACTCAGTCACACACATCTGCTGCTCCCTCCACAAAAAGAGATGCGAGAAGCAATGACAAGGGCAAAGAGAGGACTGTGCGGCCCCTACCTGCGCTAAGAAGCACATTGCGGGCGGTCGGGTGCCAGGCCACAATGCCCACTCTCTTTGAGTGGCCTTCTAAAATCACCACAGGTTCGGTCAGGGAAAGGGTGAGCCCATTTTCTGGAATCTGCCACACCTGTTGGAAAAGGAAGACAAAGATGATCCATCTTTCATGACCACATTTACGGTGATTGTCCAGCTGGGAGACTTGTTCTGCATGAATGGAACATAAAACACTGGTCTCAGAACAAAACGCAGAACAACGTGAAATGACTGTGTACAGGTGTCCTTCAAAATGTAGTCAGGTATTCAAGACCAGAATGTCAGTAAGGCCTACAAAATGTCACTCTCCACTTTTATTTAATATTTTAAATTCCCTGTTAAGTTCAACACTCCAAGTCATAACCATGCAAAAAAAAAAAGGAAAGAAAGAAAAGAAAAATACAAAAGCACTGAAGCACCCATGAGAAGCAGCAGAGGGTGAGATCCTCTATGTCCATGGTTCCTGAGGAAAAGAGCAAAATTGACCCATCAAGGGCTCTTTGGGAGTGGTGTGGTTTTGTTTTTATTTAAGTACTTATTGATTTGAGAGAGAGGGAGGGGAAGAGAGAGGCAGGGGGAGAGACAGGGAGAGAAACGTCGCCTGGTTGCCTCCCACACCTGCCCTGACCGGGGGATCAACTCTGCAACCTAGGAATGTGCACCAACCAGGAATTGAACCCCCAACCTTTCGGTGTACGGGACAACGCTTCAGCCAACTGAGCCACACCAGTCAGGGTGGGTATGCAACAGTTTTAAAAAACATCATATTTTTTATAATTTTAGATTTAGAAAATAAAAATATACCTAATAGTTTTGCAATATATTATCACAGAAAACCAATTCTCTTACAAAAGCAAAAACAAATAAAGCGGACCTCCTCAAAATTAAACTTTTGTGTTTCCAAGGATACCATCAAGAAAGTGAAAGACAACCCACAGAAAGAGAAAAAGTTGTAAGTGATACACCTGATAAGGGACTTCTCTCTAGAATATATAAATAACTTCTACTACCCAGAAAAGAAGTTCAACATTTTTAGTCATTAGGGAAGTGGAAATGAAAAACCACCATAAAACATCGCTTCCCACCGACTAGGAGACTGGGATGAAAAAGACAGACAATAACAAGTATTGGTGCAGAGGGAGAGACATCAGTCCTCAGACACCGCTGGGAGGAACGTAAAACGGTGCAGCACTATGTGCAACAGTCTGGAAGTTACACAGCTGATGAAACAGTTATCACACAACCCAGGGACACCACTCCCAGGTAAGGGAAGTAATACCACTTCTACCCAACAGAAATGAAACGTGTGCCTGAAGGTTCATAGTAGCATTATCTGTAATAGCCGAAAGGTAAAAAAACAACCCAAATGCAGCAACGGACACAGTTAATAAACAAAATACGGTATGTCTATACAATGGAGTTCTACTGAGTCATAAGAGGAATGAAGTACTGTCCCGGCCAGTGTGGCTCAGTTGGTTAGAGCATCATCTCGTAAACCAAAAGGTGGCAGCTTTGATTCCTGGTCGGGGCACATGCCTGGGTTGCAGATTCTGTCCCCGGTCAGGGAATGTATAGCAGGCAACCAATTTTGATGCTTCTCTCCCTATCTGCCCCTCCCTTCCCCTCTCTCTAAAATCAGTAAGTATATCCTCGGGTGAAGATTAAAAAAAAAAAGCTATTACAAAGGAATAAAGTACTGATAGTGCTACAACATGGACAGTGCTTGAAAACATTATGCTAAGTAAAAGAAGCCAGTCACAAAAAAACACAGATGGTAGGTTCCGTGTACATGGTAGGTCCAGAGTAGGAAAAGATACAAAGACAGAAAGTAGATTAGTGGTTACTTCATGCTAGGGAATTGGGGAACGGTAATAGCTGGAAGACATGGGGATTCTCTTGAAGGTATTGAAAATATTCAAAATTGTCTATGGTGATGGTTGTACATATCTGTAACTATACTAAAAACCACTGAATTGTACACTCTACATAGGTGAACTATATCTCAATAATGCTGTTTTAAAATTCCTCTTGATGGAAAACCCGGAAGATTCACTGTATCTTACTGGGGACATGCCTGGGGACAAGAGCACAGAAAAGCATCAGAATATGTTTAACAATGGAAGACCTGGGTTTTCCCAGACCTGAGAACCGCCCTCTAAGAACAAAGGGGCTGAGTCACAGCTAACCTAAACAGCACCAAGAACCCTGTAGAAAACCAGACATTAGGATATATAAGTTTGTGAAAAGGCTCATATTAAAAATAATCATCTTACATATAAAAATTAAAATAAGTAATTTACCAGCAAAAAAAAAAAAAGATTTTAAAGAACTAGTTCATGCAAAATTTAGAACTTGCCAGTAAAAAGTCATGTTCAACAGTGGAACAAGTGAGAAACAGAATTTTCCTTTCTTGGGGATTTTTAAGACGCAAACAACTATCTGTTTTCAATTGCTTAGTGGAAGAGAGAGAGGGAGTAGCTGAGCACTTAGGGTTCAGCCCAATTCCGTTGTCCTGTAAAAACATTAGAACAAAAAGTTTTCCATTCTGAAGACTGGGAAAAGTTGTGAGTTAAGTGACCACTCATTTTTACAGCTAAATACAACTGCTTATGCAAATCACAGCAAAGTAAATACGGCTTTTGAAGCCCATGTTTAGGATGTCACTTATCTCCCCTAAACCCTCATCATTCAGCAAAATTTAAACAAAACAGATGCAAACAAGCACAGAAGGCGAACGGAAAACCTGCCTTGCCTCCTTCTCTGTCCTTCACCCAGACCACAGCCTCTCCCCTGGGGGAGGGTGGACTTCCACTCCCCCTCCCCATCCGCCCAGCACCAAACATGCTTTCATCCTGATAAGCAGTATTTCAATCCCAGGGTTTATGATTAGTAAAACCACTCCAAACTGAACTTGGCTATCTAATATAAAGGGAGGCTGAAATTTTGAACAGAACGAACAGGAAATGACCACTAATTTGATCAAAGCACTAAGTGGGCAGAGAAACAATCTCGAAATGAGACTTTAGTGACTCAACAGGAAATGCATCCTGCAAGATGAATTTCTGACCCAGGCTTAGAGTGGAACGAGTGGTAATACCACCTACTACCTCCAGATGGCATCATAACCATGAGCTGCTGGGTTTTCTTGCAATGATTGCAAAATCTGTGTCTGATTGACCACGATTAAATAAATAGTGTGCTTTCTAAGTCCTTAATGAAGCATGGAGTGATGGGATGCTCTGGTTATAATCAGCATTTCCAGATTAAATATTAGGATGGAAGCAGAGCTCACAATGGCACTTCACTTTTCCCTTTCTCTAGCTTTTTCAGCCATCTTTTCCATGAACTGTGAGGAAATTTTAATGCTGAAGCAAAACACTTATTATACAACTTTTAAAATAAGACATTCTTTTCCTTCTACATGTCATTGCTGGAAGATTCAATGGTTCCTTCAACTAGGTCTACACATTAAATACAGGCCTCTAACCCCTTTTACTCCTTAGTTGCTCATTCACGCAACACATCTCTGGAGCACCCACTACGAGGCAGTCATTATCAAGCAGGGTGGGAAAGGGTGCAGAAAGCAGAACCGTCTGTGAGACCGAAAGCAAAGACAGCAAGGGCAAAGGCTGCGACACACAGGGCTGGAGCATGTGCTCTGGAGCCAAAGGGATCTTAGTTCAGATTCTGCCAGGGCCACTGACTGTGATGGTCCTGGGCAGACGACTCGACAGCACTGTGCACAGAGGCGACATCAGCACCTACACTTCCTAGGGCTGCTGTACTTGGTATATACAACCAGTGCCCCCAAAATATAGAGACAGCACAGTGCAGGGGTTAAGAATATGGGCTCCCAAAGTTGAACAGACCATTCAATTCCTGATTCGCCCACGCATCATCTGTATGACCTTGGGGACATTCACCTAACCTGTCTGGGCCTTAAGTTTCCTCATCCATAAAATGAAGTCATGATAAAGCTGCCCTTATGGAGCCTAAGGTGTTTTGAATAACCCCTGGCATAAGGCCGGCTCTGGATAAGGGCTAACTACTGGTATTACCAGGAAGCCACACAGCACATGTAACAAGGTGATGCTGGTATAATTCAAGTGCTCAGCAAAAATACAAGTGTCATGAGGTTAGCTTCTTGCTGTCCAAGTTTGCTATGTCCAGGAAGGCTCTCTAGGGAGATGACCTCTAAGGACAAAAAGGAATCTGGTGACAGGAGGAAGAAGGAAAGAAGGAAGGGGAGGAGGAAGGAAATCCAGAACACAAATGCATATAGCAATTTTCTAAAAACTGAATGCCCCAAGGAGGATGACTGAGCAGCTGACAGGAAAAGGCCAGCGTAACAAAGATAGCACAGGCACGAGGACTTACAGTGGGAGGAGAAAGGGACTGGAAAAGCCTGTAAAACTAAATGAAAAGATGATGGAACCCTCGCCTCTGCTGGTAAATAAAGGTGGTGTTGTTCTCCATGGTGGACTGTGGAAAGGAGCCGGCAGAGCCGTAAGTCTTTCCACACGAAGCGTGCACACCCCATGGTTGGCGCCCGCTGGCCCTACCCACAGGCCTGTCATTACGTGGCTCTTTGCCCTTTTAGGACTGCCTGCTGCTTCCGGGCACTGACCTTCCAGTGCGAACTGAAAAGGTCTTGCTTTCTGCACAACAGACAGCACAGGAGGAGACACTTGGTACGTGTTCAGTGCTCTTGTGGGCAACCTGGGACGCATCCTGATGTGGCAGAAAGGACGCTGGCCTGGGTGTCCCAAGTCACATGGGCTCCAGGGCTCCCATCAGAGCTGGGACACTAACGAGGCTAACTGGCCATGTTAGCATTAAAAAGGGACTTCACAGCCTTGGCCTTGCAGCTCAGCTGGTTAGAGCAGCCTCCAGATGTGCCAAGGTATCCAGGTTTGATTCCTGGTCAGGGCACATACAAGAATCGACCAGTGAATGCATAAGTAAGTGGAACAACAAATCGATTTCTCTAAAATTGATCAATAAAATAGAATAATTAAATACCTTTTTAAAAAAGGGACTTCACATCTTGGAGCCTCAGTTTCCTTGTTTGATACTGGGGACAGCACAGGCTCA